TTGCATTTGACATGGAGCCTTATCACGTTGTGTGCTGTGAACCTGTCCACGCTCCCCACTAAGAGTGGAGGGATAGGGAGGGGGTAACAAGGCCCCATTTGTAACTGCACCCAGCAAAGGGTGGAAGAACCTTGAGGCAGGGAAGCCCCCCACCCCAACCCCCGCCAAACGGAGCCGGGTCTGTTGCGTTCCGTAACTGGATAATAACATGTTGCGTCTTCTGTAAAGGGTTTGATACTGTCTGAGACCAGGGTAAATATATATCAACAAATAAATATATAGATTTGTTTTTAAATAATCACATTTTTGAGACGTCTCTAAGCATTTCATGGGATACGCTGTAAAGTGAAAGGTGTTTAGCAATGTAAATGATATAAGTTGTAAGTTTTCTTGTTATCTTCTCCCACTTGATCTGCGGTTCTCAAAAAGAATTCTGACCGATAAAACTCTTGCACGCCAAGACTGAGTCAAAATTCGGATTTCTGATCCCTTTCAACAAGCTACATAAAATGGTCAAAGAAGGATTTTGGGTCACATCCTTCCCCGATACCGGCTAATGATCTTAGCTAAGACTCCTTATTAGGCAAGAATTCTTCGAGTCAGAGCAAAGATTCTGCTTATTCCCCCCTCCTGGGACTCTCCTGATTATTTTCATCTGTAAGAGCAGGGGATGACCAGAGAAAAGGGAAATGACACAGTCCTGCTTCCTGAGGGAGTGCTTACAGTGCGCATGAACTCAATTAGCTCACTTCTGTGTCAACCTGGCACTCCAATGACAGGGAAACAGTACATGGAAGACATGCATGCAAGAGTTGAAAGGTTCACAATCTTCTGTTTTGCACTGTCTCTTATGTTTGACTGGAAATGGCTCTTTGGAGAATACCCAAGTGAGGTATTAATTAATTACTTCCTGTTTATCTGATAAGAACTATTCACTACTTTGAAATATTATTAGCAGAAGATTCCTTAAATCCGTCACAGTGACTGTTGCTGCTGGAAGTACATTTGGTAGTATTTGTTTTCAGCAGAATACAAGATTGATTGGTACTTGGGTTCCCTCCAGTCCTCGGTACTACACTGGAGTGCCAGGTTGACACTCCAGTGCAGGGTTAGGGGGAACATTGCATTGTCTGAGATGCTGAGATATTAAACCAAGGCCACATCTGCCTGCGCAGGTAATGTATCATACCGCTTTTGAAGGGATTTTTTTCTCAGTGTCCAAGCCAACATGAGCTCCATTTGCTTTTTAAGGGAGAGTTCTGCTGTCTTGGGCTATTTATGTGCTGGCTTTATTCTCTGAGGGTAGCCAGGAATAGCACAGAGTCTTTCTGCTGCAATTCCCATCATTTTACTCACTGGACAAGGGGCCAAGAGACTCACAATAAGAATTGACATTAGAATTAATAGGTCAAGGCCCATCAAGCTTTCCTGCCACAAATTATAGTGGGTTTTGAACGTCATTCTCCCTATTCTGTGCTTCCTAACTTAATTGTTATAATAATAATAATCCTTGCATTTGATATAGCGCCTTTCACGTTGGGAGGACGTCCCAAAGCACTTCACAGAACACACTGTAAAGTGAATTGACTGTATATTTGTGGGCGAACGCGGCAGCCAATTGCGCACAGCAATGTCCCACAAACAGTCGTAGATTGAAAACGACCAATTTATCATTGTTTTTGGTTTTGGAGGGATTATTATTAGGCTCTGTGTGGAGTGAGGAAACTTGCCCAAGGTTTCGCCCTCTGCCTGGAATTGAACTCAGGTCTCTCGCTACAGGACTGTTAAATGCTTTGAGCATTTCAGTGTTTGTGAAGGACACAAATATTTGCTTTAAGAGGGAATTGGACAAATAATAATAATTGTTGCATTTGATTTTGCGCCTTATCACGTCATTGAGACATCTCAAAGCACTTCACAGAATAAAGTGGATTGACTGTATGAAACTCAGTCACCAATTGTGCGCAGCGGTTGGGATTGACTGACCAAATTATTTTCATATATCTGAAAACAGGTGAAAAAACTGTTTCAGAGGCCGGAACAGACACATGGGCCTCATTCAGCAACATTGCTTGATGGGTATAATAAGTGACCGTAAGCAAAAAAAAATAAAATCAGGTACACATTCCGCCAGACCCTTTTTTTTATTTTTTTTATTTTTTTTTTATTTTGTATTTTTTAGAAGTCTCAAAACTGGAAAATAGTTCAGGTTATTTACGGTAGAAAAAAAATCAGAGGCGTTAAAAAAAAAAGGGGAAAAAAAAATGGGGGGGGGGGCGGGGGGGCTCGAGTCCACGACTGTCCGCGGGACGCCGCTGTGCGCAATTGGCCGCCGCGTTGCGCACCCCCCCCACCCCCCCCGGAAAAAAATTATACAGTCAATTCAACTTTTAAGAGTATATTCCGCCAACAAACGGTTTGCGTCCCCGGAGATGTCTCGATGGCGCGATAGTATAATATCGTATAAGGTGATACGACGCTGCATCGAATGTCAGGATTATTGTTGTTAGTGCTATTGTATTGTGGAGTCCTGTAGCTCAGTGGTTAGAGCACTCGCTTTGCAAGCGAGAGACCTGAGTTCAATTCCAGGCAGAGGGCGAAACCTTGGGCAAGTTTCCTTACTCCACACAGAGCCTAATAATAATCCCTCCAAAACCAAAAACAATAATAAATTGGTCATTTTCAATCCACGACTGTTTGTGGGACATTGCTGTGCGCAATTGGCTGCCGCGTTCGCCCACAAATATACAGTCAATTCACTTTACAGTGTGTTCTGTGAAGCGCTTTGGGACGTCCTCCCGACGTGAAAAGCGCTATATCAAATGCGAGGATTATTATTATTGTATTATTATCACAGGGCAGACAGTGACTGGGGGACACGTGGCAGCGCTTTGGGCACACGTTGCCTGTTCGTTGGGCAACAAGGGGAGGGGGGAGGAGTCAGCGCCGGGAGGGGGAGGAGTCAGCGCCGGGAGGCGGGGGAGGAGTCCGCGTCGGGAGGAGCGAGGGGGAGGAGTCGGCGGGTGGAGGAGGGAGGAGTCGGTGCCGACCGCTTTGCTTCCTGATTGGATCTTAGGAATCACCAGCTCGCTCTAACCCCGCCCCCCCCCCACCACCCGCCCCCCGCACTCCTGCTCCTTACGTCATAGCCCATCATCCCCCCCCCCGCGCGCGCATGAGTACGAGGGGGCGGGGTGATGTGGTGTGAAGTCAGAGGTGACTGGCGGTCATTGACCCGCGCGCCGGCTTCAGTCTGTTGGCGGCGAGAGCGCGAGGTGAGTGCAGTCCGTTAGACGTGCGGTCGGTTAGTTCGTCTCGTCAGTCGGACGGACGGACGGTCGGTCGACGGCGCTTCAAAACCTCTTTCTTTCCCCCTTCTCTCTGTCTTCCTATTACCTGATCTCAGTCGCAAACACTTCCCCTCCCTCTCCCCCTTCCCCCCCCCCCTCCACCACCACGTTTTTATTATTCGTATATTATTATTATTTTTTTTTGGGGGGGCGTTCAGTTTTGTTTGCAGTGATGTTGTTTTAACGGTTAGAAAAAAAAAGGCCCACACGTATTTTAAAGAGTGTTTTAAGTGCGTGTGTGTGTGTGTGGGGGGGTTAAAACAATTGAACCGAATAAATAAATAAATAAAATAAAATATATCCGGTTGGAGGGGACGAGGTTGTATTTTCTTTGGAGGAGGATTGGGATGGGAAGAAAGAGAGAGAGAGAGAGGACTCCCCCGTCCTGCACCCCTCTGCCCCCCCCCCCCCCACTCGCCGCCGCCCCCCCCCCCCGGTCCCTCTCACCGACTTCTCCGGTCCCTCTCACCGACTTCTCGTGCGCGTCCCGCGCGCAAAAAAAGCCCGTCAGCCTCTGACAAGCGAGTCGTTTCTCTCCCCCACCCCCCCCAAAAAAAAATAAAAATAAAAAGAAATCCTCCTGACAAGTAAGCCCAGGGGTGTGGGTGGGGGGGTGTGTGTGGGGGTGTGTGGGGGGAAAGGAGAGAGAAAAAAAAAGGAAGAACCGATGCATCGCCGCGTGTTCCTGAGGTTAAATGTTTCCTGTCTTTCTGTTTGGCCGAGTGAAGCCACCGCGGGTCCTCTCTGGCGCCATCCCATTTTATTTAGTGATTTATTTATTTCGAGGCAAACTTCTCTTTTTTTTAATGGAGATTAGAGCTCCTTTCTCTTTCTCACACCCCACACACACACATCCCCCCCCCCCCCCCCCCCCCACACACACACACACACATCCCCCCACACACACACACATCCCCCAACACACACACACATCCCCCCCCCACACACACATCCCCCCCCACACACACACACACATCCCACACACACACATCCCCCCCACACACACACACACACACATCCCCCCCCACACACACACACACACACATCCCCCCCCCACACACACACACACACACACACACATCCCCCCCCCACACACACACACATCCCCCCCCACACACACACGCGCCCCCCCCCACACACACACACATCCCCCCCCACACACACACATCCCCCCCCCACACACACACACATCCCCCCCCCACACACACACACATCCCCCCCCACACACACACACATCCCCCCCCACACACACACATCCCCCCCCCCATACATCTCCCCCCACACACACACATCCCCCCCCACACACACACATCCCCCCCCACACACACACACATCCCCCCCACACACACACACATCCCCCCCACACACACATCATCCCCCCACACACACACACATCCCCCCCCCACACACACATCCCCCCCCCACACACACATCCCCCCCCACGCACATCCCCCCCCCACGCACATCCCCCCCCCACACACCCCATACACACCCCCCCACACACACACCGATAAAGGCTTTTTTTAAAAAAAAAGCTACACTTTTTATTAAAAATAGCGCACTGGTGGGCGTGTTTTGGGAAAGGTTAAATTCGTGAAATGCTTTCTTTTCCTCCAGTTCTTCTCCCCCCTCCCTCCTCCTCACCCCACCCTCATTCCTCTCTCCCTCTCTCTCTCTCTCTCTTTTAACCTCATCTGTCTCTGTTACCTGAATGCGTTATCTCGGGTTGAGAACCCTCGTCTGTCTGAAGGAGCGCAGCCACTCTTGGACACTGTGCAACACTATTCGTGTGTAGTTTATGTTTCCTTGCCATCGCATCGAAGAGTTCAGATGTTGACCTGAACCATTGGGAGGGAGTGTTTAGCGGCTTATAGCTGTCCTGTAAGCTTTGAAATCGACCTTATCTCTCAGGTAGCTTTAAGGACATTTTACTGTGCCCGTGTCGAGTTGGCAATGTTTTATTTGCATTGGCTTTTAACTTCTCTGCTTTTTTTTTTTGCTGATGAATTATTGATGACCTGGGTGCCTGCTGAGTGAAGATGGCATAATCTATGCTGTACTGTGTGCTTTTCTGGGGTGCACTCCATTATATGATTATAAAAACAATGGGGGATGTGCGCACGTGGATTCACATAGATGTTCCCAGGTATTTGGGGTTTTCAGTTTCGAGAGGTTTGAGAAGTTCAGATTTTATTTTTTGGCTGGAGCCGAGAAGATGGTAAGGGGATCTTTAAGATTACACAGTTATGATAGGTAAACGGTAATGCGGTAGATTATTTTACTAGCTTGGCGAGTCGGTAATTAATAAAAATAATCAAAAAGTCAGGTTTGAAAAAAATTGAGCGGTTGGAACGTGGAGTCCATAATTTTAAAAAATATATCGTTGTTGTGTTGAAATGTACAAGGAAATATTCTGTACTTAACTGTCCATTGTTTGCTTGTGATGTGATGCGCACCCATTGTTCTTCATTGCAGGTGAGCTACACATCCTATTACCCCTTTACAGACCCAAGTACTGCATGTCTTTGCAACCTACCTTCCTATAGCATAGTAGTAAAGCTTGTGCTATTATTTTCCTGTGATCTCATGCAATAAGTTCTGTAACGAGAATGATTCCGTGTTATCGGGGCTTGGAGAGAGAGAATTAAGTGATGAAAGTTGCCTTTAGTTGGGGAAAAGTTTGAGAGACGACCTGCCCAAATTTGCGAAATGCTTACAAGCACTGGATAACAAAGATGTAAATAATAATAATAATCCTTGCATTTGATATTCCGCTTTTCACGTCTTATAGACATCTCAAAGCGCTTCACAGAATAGACTGTAAAGTGAATTGACTGTATATTTCTGGGTGAAATGCGGCAGCCAAAAGCAGAGTTTACTTTAGACTCTTGACTGCAGATTTGGCAGAGAGGAATCTGAATTTAACCAGCATTGAGTGAAAGTAATTGCAGTAGATAACTATTTTACTTTCTTCATGTTCCCGGCCTTATACAGTGTGTGGATTAGAATCCCAATCGAAGCAGTTACTTGATTGTTAATTTTTTTTGTAAAAGAGGACCACCGATTATCTGCAATGTGTAGAACTTGATGGCTTTTTCTCATATTAGTTCTGAAATGTAGCTGGTTAGTGTTGGAAGAGTGTAATTTTTTCAAGTTTGTAATTCTTGATACCTTGGAAGATTGTTTTGGGTTTTGATAGATTATGCTCAGTGTTCTTGGAGATAGTCAAAAAACATTTTGTTATTTTACTTTTGAATCTGAATGCTTTAACCGAGGAGTTAACTACTGAGCTTGGAGGGCAGCATCTAAGTAGGCCACCACTTTTGTTGAGTAATGTTTATTGGTCTGATTACCTTTTAATGCTGCCATCCTCTCTGTCTGGTGAGATTGCATCTACAATGTTTATTCTGCCCCTACAAATCTTCTGCTACTATCTCACATGTGCCTTCTCCACAGCTTTGGGACGTCCTCCCGACGTGAAAAGCGCTATATCAAATGCAAGGATTATTATTAACTGCACAATTGGTTCCATGTAATTCTCACCCGTTTTTCCAGTTAGTAACATTAATCTTTGCCAGTTCAGTATTTTAGTGGTATATTAACATCCATATGCTGTTTACAATTGTTTACAACAGTTAACATGTTGATTGGGCTTCATTATAAGAATTGTGCTGCTTTACTGCTGGTTTGATTAGAGGAAAGCTAGTGTTGTGGTTACCTGTCCTTTGAACCAACTCAATTGAGATAAAGGTAATGTACCATTTCAATTTCTGTGCATCAATATCTACACCGTTGCACATTTGTTTCTTTGACCCACCATGAAAATCTTCTCACACAGCCTAACTTTCACTGTGTTTTTATTCTTGCTATTGCAGAATTTCACTTCATTAAATTTATTGCATCTTAAGAGAGAGAGATGAAATTGATACTCTTGATTGTAATCAATAACCCTGAGTAAACTGCAGCCTTGATGTCTGTCGTAAGAACCTTCGGAATTTTCAAGCCATCTGGCTTATCTCAAACTTGAAAAATATCATATGTCTGTTTAGCTCTCAACCACACCTTCCCAGCAATTCCCCCGAGGGGGGGAGAGAACTAACAATTTGAAGTTCTGTAAGGTATGTTTGGGTAGCTTATTGGCATTTATCTTATACAGACTAGCTGTGGTCGTCCAAGGATCGAATTGTTCGGTCGCTGGTGTGTGCTGAGGCAGCTCTGATCTCTTTGGGAAAGCACTATGGGCCTGAGAGTCCACCTCAGTCCCAATTAGAGAGGGTAAAATTAATCCACACAGTCGCTCTTGATCACAAACCAATGACAGCCTTTTAAAACTTGATTTAAAATAAAAATGTAGCCCATAGCAAAACAAAGGATATTTGCCTGTCATTATTGCATTGCGTTCAGTGCAATAACGCAGCCTCCTGTGAATTAGTTGTCTTGATTTATTTTAAGTGCTGCCTTTGAACTTTGCTCCACTTGGCAATTCATGCCTTTATTTGCCTCAGGGTAGCTTGGCAGTCAGCTTTATGGACTACGTATATCATTGACTTGAGCAGTGGTTGAGTAAACCCAGTGAACAATACAACTGTGGTGACTGATTTCACCCTTCCTCACAATGGTGATGTGTAGGGAAAATAAAAATGTTAAAAGTTAATGTATTCTGAGTCACATAGATGGTAGGTGGAGCACTAACTAAATATTGAGTAACTTTTCCGGTGTGTTTGGTTGTACTGGGGTAATTTGAGTGAAACTTACACAGTTCAACTTCTGATTGGTATACTTGCCTTATTCTTTCAATCATGTCTTGTGTCATGGCCAATTTATGGAGGTTTATCCTGACAATCTGGTTCCAAGCATGGCTGTTGAGCCAGATATCCAGAGGAAGCAGGAATTGATGTATGGAATAGCCGCAAGACAGCTTGCTGCTTCTACTACAATGTGAGAAGTTTGCGAAGAAAGCAGAATATGTAGAAAAGAATTTGGTTCATTTGATCCTGTCCTTCTAAAATACCCACTGTCTTGCCATTACTTACCAATGAAATCTAAATGTTACTCTTGTAAAGAGTATCGACAACAGATGAACAAATTGGGATATAAATGTGTTCAACATCTGTCGTGTTGAGCTATTTGCCAATTTGTACAGCAGTATTAAGGATACCAATAACATTTAAACCTGTTGGCCTCTCGAGGCTAGATCAAGTTGAAATCTGTTAGGCTGCCACCACAGATGTCAGAACCAATATCTTATGTTGTATATTCTTCAGAATGTTCCTGAACTTAGGCAGTGTTGTTGGAATAGTCAAAAAAAGTGTACTGGCTGTGACGACTTCCCCATTTTCAAAAGACTTATGATTTAGCTGGCTTGATTTTCCAAGCAGCCAATGTACTGGTTGTCTTTACTGTATGTGGCCCATATTAGCTCATTCCCAAAATGGGATGACAGCAATGCCTTTTGGTGAACTATGAACCAACCACAAACAAGAATGCAATTAAGTTAGTCTGATCTGAACGGGACATGTGATTGAATACTGTACCACATCAGCTTGTGCTTGTACAGGATGAATGTTTCCACATTTCACAAAGATGATGGGATCACTTAGCAAGGAGTTGAGGTGTAATGTGAGAATGTTGATGAAAGGTGCAGACACATAGATGTATTTTTAAGATTAAGCGCAAGGCAAAGGGCTGTAGGAGAGTTCCAGAAGCAAAGGGTCTGATGACTGAAGGTTTGGCTACTAATCAGGCCATACAAAATGAGTGTCCAAGTCAGAGTGTAAAAGCAGGGAAATGTGACTGGAGCAGAGCTATCAATCTTTGCAGAAACTCTGTGTACCAAGTGCAAGTTGTTTCCTCCATATCTGGGTTGAGATATTGCACTTGCTGCTAAGTGCAACTGCGAACTATGTACTTAAAATGGGAGATGAGCACACATGTCAAAACGGTTACATGTAGCAGCAAGCAAAATATTATCTCTATTTGACTGCATCGTTCTCTCTGTTGCTGTTTCTGTGTGTCACTTTCTAACTGTATGTGTCTTTGTCTCCCTCTCTGTCTGTCTTCTCATGAATTACCTGGAATGGTAATCGATTTGTAAGAAATCTCTGTGAAATGCTACTGTTTCCGCAGCAGCAATTAATGAATGAGGGTTTTAAGAAGCTTAATCCAGTTATAAAAGTGTGTTTTCTCAGGTGGAAATGACCCAGCTAATCCACTTGCTCAAATTTGCTTTCTGACAGTTTTAAAAATATATTTTAACGGAAGGAATATTCATTGTGAATTTGTTGGAATCTGAACAGAGTCAGCGCATTGGTTACTGCGACAACGCGGCTACACTAGCATTAAATATAGACCGATGCCCTTGTTGCTTTGCTAAGACTCCACTGTAGGTTTGTCCAAGTCATAGACCTTTTATACTCATGCCTTTTACTCATGCTTTCCTTTCACACAATTGCTGGTAAACTGAGACACACTCATCCAGTGTGATGAGTGTTTTTTTTCCAATTTATCCTCTGGAATTGGTGCCTTTTTTTTAAACTGGCAAATTGATTTCTTTCTAGAAAACAAAATTTTGATTGCAAATTTATTCATTTTTTTAAATGTTTCTGCTTGCCTTTACTGAAATGCAATTTAATTTCCTGTGATTACCTGTTTGGTTTTCTCTTTAACTAATAGTTGATTGAGCTAGTCGTAGACAGGCCAGCCTCTTGTGGGTTCCAAGTCCAGTTCAGTACTGGAAAAGCACAGTATTATCGGAAGTGTTATCCTTCAGATGAGACATTAAATCAAGGTCTTGTCAGACAGTTTAGGTGGAGGTTGAAGGATGCTATGGCATTTTTAGAAATGAGAAGGAAGTCTTGTCCAACAATCCTCCAGAATAATTGGTCATTCGCTTCATGGCTGTTTGTGGGACT